CTCGGCGCCCGCGCACGCGCGCGCAGCTGGGATCCATGCGAGGAGGGCTCAGTCGAAGTCGTCGTCGTCCTCATCCTCCCGCTTTCCCTCCCTCCCTCTTCCCCTCCCTCCCTCGCTCGCTCCCTCCTCCCTCCCTCGCTCATCGTACCTGATGGCTCCAGAATCTGGGTCAGACGCAGCCGTGCCCTCCCTGGCGGATACCTGCCGTCAGGGAGGGAGTGTACCCCAAAAAAGGTCCTGGGGGGGAGTGCGAGGGAAACGACAGGGAACAGCGGCGGACGACGAGGCGGTGTGCGCGCTGCGGTGGCATCCCTCCCTCCTCCTCCTCCTACGCCCAGAATATCATCCTCATCCTCCTCCTCCTCCCTCATCCTTCCTCCTCTCCTCCCCTCCTCTACTCTCCTCCTCCTCCTCCTCCTCATCCTCACCTCATCCTCTCCTCCTCCTCCTCCTCCTCTCCCCATCCTCCTCCCTCCCCATCCTCCTCCCCTCCTCCTCCTCCCTCCTCCTCTCATACTCCCTCCCTTCATCACCCTCCTCCTACTCCATAATCTCATCACATCATCATCCAATCAGAATCATCAGCATCATCAGCATCATCATCATCATCATCTCATTCATCATCATCATCATCATCATCATCATCACATCATCATCTCATCATCATTCATCAGCATAATCATCATCGTCATCATCATCATCATCATCATCATCATCATCATCAGCATCATCATCAGCATTCAGCATCATCATCAGCATCATCATCATCATCCTCATCATCATCAGCACCATCATAATCATCATCCATATCATCCATCATCGTCATCATCGTCATCATCATCAACATCAACATCAACATCATCATCATCATCACCATCATCATACTCATCCTCATCCTCATCCTCATCCTCATCCTCATCCTCATCCTCATCCTCATCATCATCATCCGCATCGTCAACATCATCACCAGCATCATCATCATCATCATCATCATCATCATCATCATCATCATCACCAGCATCATCATCATCATCATCATCATCATCAGCATCAACATCATCCTCATCATCATCATCATCATCAGCATCGTCATCATCAGCAGAAGCAGCATCAGCATCAGCATATCATCATCAGCAGCGTCATCATCATCAGCATCATCATCATCAGCAGCAGCAGTCGCATCATCAGCATCGTCAGCAGCATCATCAACATCATCATCATCATCAGCAGCATCAGCATCATCATCATCATCATCATCATCATCATCATCATCATCATCAGCATCATCAACATCATCATCATCATCATCGTCATCATCATCAGCATCAGCAGCATCATCATCATCAGCAGCATCATCATCATCAGCATCATCATCAGCAGCATCGTCATCATCATCATCATCAGCATCATCATTATCATCACCATCACCATCATCAACATCATCAGCAGCATCATCGTCATCAGCATCATCAGTATCATCATATTCATCAGCAGCATCATCATCGGCAGCAGCATCAGCGTCATCAGCATCATTATCATCATCATCATCATCATCATCATCATCATCAGCATCATGAGCATCCTAATCGTCATCATCATCAGCATCATCAGCATCATCAGCAGCATCTTCATCATCAGCAGCATCATCATCACCGTCACCATCAGCATAATCATCATCACCAGCATGAGTTTCATCATCATTATCATAATCAGCATCAGCATCATCATCAGCATCATCATCATGAGCATCGTAATCGTCATCATCATCAGCGGCATCAGCATCGTCATCATCATCACCATCATCAGCATCATCATCATAATCAGCATCATCATCATCATCATCATCATCATCATCATCATCATCATCATCATCATCACCATCATCATCCTCATAGTCATCTTCATCGTCATCTTCATCTCCTCCTCCTCCACCTACTCCTATTCCTACTCCTACTCATACGCCTCCTCCTCCTACTCCTCCTCCTCCTACTCCTCCTCCTCCCTACATCCATCCCTCCATCCATCAGCATCAGCATCAGCATCATCATCATCATCATCATCATCATCATCATCATCATCATCATCATCATCATCATCATCATCATCATCATCATCATCATCATCATCATCATCATCATCGTCAGCATCATCATCATCATCATCATCATCGTCGTCGTCGTCGTCGTCGTCATCATCGTGATCATCATCATCATCATCGTCGTCATCATCATCATCATCATCATCATCATCATCATCATCATCATTATCATCAGCATCAGCATCATCATCATCATTATCATCATCATCAGCAGCATCATCATCATTATCATCATCATCATCATCAGCATCATCATCACCAGCATCATCGTCATCATCATTGTCATCGATAGCATCATCATCATCATCATCATCATCGTCATCATGATCCTCAGCATCATCATCATCATCATCAGCAGCGTCATCATCAGCATCATCATCACCATCACCATCATCATCATCATCATCATCAGCATCATCATCATCATCAGCAGCAGCATCATCAGCCTCCTCATCACCATCATCATCATCATCATCATCAGCATCATCAGTATCATCAGCATCATCCTTATCACCATCATCATCATCAGCAGCAGCATCATCATCATCATCGTCATCATCAGCACCATCATGAGCATCATCATCGTCATCATCATCGTCGTCAGCTTCATCTTCATCGTCATCATCATAATCATGAGCATCAACATCATCATAATCAGCATCATCGTCGTCGTAATCAGCTTTGGAATCATCAACATCATCATCATCACCAGCATCAGCATCAGCATCATCAGCATCATCATTTTCATCAGCAGCATCATCATAATCATCATCAGCATAATCATGCCCATCATCATCACCATCATCATCGTCATCAGCATCATCATTAGCATCATCAGCATCATCAGCATCATCAGCACGCTCATCATCATAATAATCAGCATCATCGACGTCATCATCAGCATCATCATCATTAACAGCATCGGCATCATCATCAGCAGCATCAGCATCAGCATAAGCATCATCATCAGAATCATCATCATCAGCATAAGCATCATCATCGTCATAATCATCATCAGCAGCATCATCATCAGCATGAGCATCATCAACAACAGCAGCAATGCTCCCACCAGCCCTCTGGCAATAAGTGGTCTAGGACGGTTATTCTTCCAACCCCCTTCTTCCCCTCGGGGAGGGGTGTATCACTGCTCCCTATGAATAAACACCCCGTCCCCCACCCGGCCGGCAGCCAATCCGGAACCATGCGCACACCATGAGGGCCCCCCCCCATCAGCCCTGTCAAAAAACAATACGAAATGCACATTGCGGGGCCCACCCTGCCAACACCCTCCACACTCCCTGTCAAAAAACCATACCAAGTGCACATTGCAACAAAATCTGGACAGTGCGCTGGCGCCCAATGAGCACGTTGTATTGCTTTTTGACAAGGATGGCGGGGGGCACCCTTAGTGAAGCCACCTTGTGCAGGACCACCATCCGTGTCAAAAACAATTCAAAATGCACGTTGCGACAACGTCGTGGGTTTTGTGCTGGCCACCCGCGATCACTTTGTATTGCTTTTTGACAGGGACGGCGGCGGCGGGGCCCAGAACAGTGATGACGCCCCCCACATCAGCATCTGGACCATGCGGACGGGCTAATTGGTATCAGGACCATGTGGACGGGCTCACATCAGCATCTGGACCATGTGGACCATCTGGACCATGCGGACAGGTTCATCAGCATCACGCCCCCCAGCATCAGCACTGGCATCACGTTTGTTTAATAAGGGTGGCACACCAACGCACGTGGAGCCCGCGGCCAGCGTCGCGCACCTGGCGCCCGCTTTGGTTCCCAGCGGCTGTCCATTCAGTGGCGACCCCTGGCTATGCCGAGACTCGGATGCCCCGTTATGTGGTGGGAGGGCGGGTGGGAATGAGCAAGACAGCTTGCGTGCGGAGAGGGCGTCTTGACCCCTCCCCCTGCCCCCTCCCCTGGACCTGGAAGGGGGGGGCTGGATGGGGGGGCGCGCGAGGCGTTGGAGCGTCCAAGATGGCCCAGGATGGCTCCAAGAGAGCCTCAGAGAGCCCAAGATGACCTCCAAGATGGCTCAAGATAGCCCAAAATGGCCCCAGATGGCTCCCAAGATGCTCCAAGAGACCCCGAGACCGCTCCAAGGCGGCTCAAAATAACCATGGAATTTTCCCAGGAAGCAGCCAAGAGGCCAAAGTTCGACAAAAACCGGATGAGCATCGATGAGTTGTGCCTTCTGTGCCTTCCCGCCTTTCTGGCATTCGATGGCATTCCGAAGCCTCAAGATGGCTCCAAGAGAGCCCCAGAAGGACCCAAAAGAAGCAAAAGAGAGGCCCACGACGGCCCCAAGAGCGCCCAAGAGCGCCTCAAAATGCTCCCCAAGAGGGGCCGAAGAGGCGAGCTTGGGGACTTCCGATGGGGGGAGGCTTATTCAGGATCCCTCCTTCCTTATGGTTCCAAGAGGGCCTGAGGCCCTCAAGACAGCTCCAAGAGGCTCCCGAAAGGCCCCCAAGAAGCCCATAAACGGCACAAAAGAAGCCCCAAGAGAACCCCCAGACGGCCCCAAGAGCGCCCAAGAGCGCCTCAAGATGCTCCAAGGGAGGGACCCTTCCTCTCTGTGCTGCCCGCTTTCGTGATCGAGGCAACTCCTCTGGGCATCGTCTCGGGGTGGGCTGGTGGGGTTACTTTTTAGTCAGCGGCCGCGGGCGAGCGCTCCGACGGCGAGTCAGGTCAAAGCGGGCGACGCAGAGACTCATTAGGCAGAGGAAACGCGAGAAAATGAAAGCAGAGGCAACGCGCGAGGCAACAGCTACACGCTGGCCGAGGCGCTGGTGGGGTTACTTTCTCGATTGCGGCCGCGAGGCAACGGTCAGACGGCAAGAGCAGTGTCCGGGGTAACGGCACAGTGCGAATTGGCGAACGCAGCAGCC